CTCTCTCTCTCTCTCTCTCTCTCTCTCTCTCTCTCTCTCTCTCTGCAGAGGATGTAGAGGTGGATGTGGAGAGCCTGGTGTTTGGGACTGAGACTGAACTGCTTCCGAGACTCAGCACTAGCCAGGGGCTTGGCTACTCACACAGCACCAGTACCTGGCTATGACACTCACTGCCCATAGCATCCTTTTCTCTTTGGACTGAGCCTACTAGGCAGGAGCCCCACACAAGTCCCAAGGTCTGCTTAGAGCCACTTGTTGGAGACTGGGAGGAGACTACGAAAGATCCTTGTGTGGAAACAGGACTCTGTGGGCTCAGCTGCACAGCTTGAGCCTGGGCTACCCTCCCCATTCCCCTAGGGGGGGCATTTTATGTAGCCCTTGGCTCTGCTTTGCTGCCCCCCATGGGGACAGGAGCCTATAGGCCGCTTGTTCCTGGGCAAAAAGCCCCAGGCCTCTGCCCCACACATACCGCACAGTATTTTCATTAAAATCCTCTTTCGTAAGTTCCTGTCCATGGTTTTGCCTGATGAGAAGGAGGAAGTCCCAGCCACAGCTGGCCAAGAGGAAGTCCGATCAGTAGCTGCCACACACGGTCATGTGTCAGGCAGTGTACATCTGGTGCAGTGTGGAGGCTGCTCTGTTTGTGGTGCCAGGCAGAGTGATGACTTGCCTGAGGTCCAGATCCAAACCAAAGCTATCTGACTCCAGAACTGGGGCCAATCAAATCAAGTGTTTATTGAGTGCCTGTTATGTGCTGAATATTGTTCAGGGTACTCGGGACACATCAGAGAATAAAACAAGAGCCCTGCCCTCGAGGAGCGTACAGTCTATCATGTATCGCCTCTTCACCTGCGCACTGCCTGTGACCCTGGGCAAGTCACTGCACCTTTCTGCCCAATGGGGTAAAAGGAGTCTGGGCTCAGTAGCCACTGAGCAGGCGTACTGCAGATGCGGACCCTGACCCACCACCACCAGACAGCAGAGAGGGCTGGAGGTGGATTTTTAATAATCAAGTACAATGGGAAGGGAGGAGGGAGCTACACAAGCTGCTGCTGTTGCTGCTTGGTGGCGGCCTTGTTGGCCAGGTCCTTGGCCTTCTCTGTAGCTGCCAGCGCTGTCTCCTTTGCCTTTTCTTTGGCCTCTTTGGCTGTCTCAACAAGTGTTTTGGAAGGGGCTTCACCTGTGGCAAACGACAGGAGGCTGGCTTCAGGAGATGCCTAGAAGACCCACTCAATCCCTGTTCAAACATGGCAGTCACTATTTACGGGCCAGGCTTGTGAGGAATGGAGTTTGTCCTGTTTCCTGACCCTCCCACCCTTCCAGGCGCACACAAGCAAGTGCCTCAGGCTCTGATCAGGGCAGTGATTGGTCAAGTTGAGGTAGAATTATCCTAGCCACTGCTAGTGAGGGTCCCTTAGTCCCCCAAGCAGTGTCCAGAGCTCTCACCTTGTAGCTTGGCCAAGATGTACTCAAAGCCCTTCATTGTCTTGGTCACATTGCTTTTGAACCGGGCAAGACCAAATTCCTGGCAGGAGAGACAGAAGCATGGGAGAAATGTTCAATGACCCAGAGTCCAGCGGGGCCCAGCCCCCAAACCTCTTACCTGGACAGCTCTAGAGACGCCAAATAAGCTAGAGGAGACCCAGGCTTCCCGACGGATTTCGGTCCAGCCGCTGTTGTCAGAGTTCACACAGTAAACACATCGTTCCTCCACCACCTGCACAGGAAATCACATAGACGGCCTCCCTGTAGGATTATCTTTTGCTTTGCTCACTCACAGACTCCACCCTGGCTCTCCTGTGCTGCTGAAGCCAGCACTGCATCCCTGCCCTCAACACTGGGTGAGTCCTTGCCTCACTCACAAGGGGAAAGCAATAAAAAGAAAATTCTTTATATATCCCAGGCTCAAAGAGAAGCCATTCTGCCTCTTCAGCCTCCTTGCTGACCCTTTAAAAGTAGAATGTAGTCCCTTGGGATCAGCCCGAATTCCAGCCTGATCCTGGGCTTTGCTTGGCGCCCAGGGATCTAGACATGCAGTGTTTCCAGTTTGCCTTTTGCACTGTCCCCTCTGAGCTCTCACACACACACGCACGCACGCACGCACAGACACACACATCTGATAATAATCACAGCTTTCATTATCAAGATGAGGGGCAACTTCCTGAAGAACACAAAGATGGTCATCACAAACACAGCACTGCGCTGGTTGGCTGTCTATAAAGTCACAGCGCCCCTTGCCCTCCCAGTGTCATTCCTGAAAGCCTACCCTATTTGTATGTATGTCAGACACCAAGTGTTTTGTGCACAGCACTTGAAACAAGTTCTGCAAAGAGGTGTTCCCCCGTCATCTGAGAGCCAGTGGGCAGGCCCAGAGAGGCCGACCACCCGAAATGGGGCAACCTGAGGCCTAACTCTACAGAATTTGATCATCAGCATTTTTTTTTTTTTTTGAGGCTGTCCTGGAACTCAGTCTGTAGACCGGGCTGGCCTGCAACTCACAGAAATCCACCTGCCTTTGCCTCCCGAGTGCTGGGACTAAAGGCCTGCGCCACCAATGCCCGGCCTTTGCCTGTGATCTGAGGGGCAACCATTTTGAGGGACCGAAGGAGGCCTCACCATCAGCCGGGCGTGGTTGATGTTCCAGGTGAAGGTGGTCATGGTTTGCTTCTGTGGGTCCACAATCGAGTCCTCCAGGATGTACACCGAGTGGGCGACGTTGGCAGGAAACAGTCGCTCTGCCCAACGTGGCATCCTGTTGGTCTTGGTCAGGAGTCTCCGGGACAGAAGCTTCTGGTCAGGAGTCACCTCGCGGTGCACGATGTCTTCGGTTAAGACATGTTTGCTGCGGGCGTGGCAATGAGGAGGATTCTCAGAGGTCTGCTCGTGATCAGCTGTGATCCACAGGTTCGCATTTGGAGCCTCCGGGTCATGGCTTCCCGCAATCTTACTGAGAGCACACTGAACCTATCCCCGGGCAAATTCCACATCCTCCCTCCCTCCTCCCCCTCCCCCTCCTCTGAGACAGTCAAAGGCTGTCTCATACAGCCCAGGATGGCCCCAAACTCACAATCCTCTTGACCCATCCTCGAAAATGCTGGGATGACAGGTGCAGGCACCTGCCTAGTTCCCTATGCTCATGGTTTGGCTCCAGATTTTGGAGTTATGGGAAGTTAGTGGATCTTTAAGAGGTGGTCCTATTAAAAGGAAGTGAGGTCACTGAACATGTGCTCTTAAAAGAGCTATTAGGACCTCGCCCCTTCCTATTTCTGTTTTCAGCCACCATGAAGTGAACAGACCTCTTATACCAAGCACTTCTGCCATGAGGTAGTCACACCACAGACCAAAGCAAAAACAGCTAGATGACCCATGGACAAGCCTCTTGGATCCTCAGTGTTCTCAACCATATCATGTACACAATAGTGCCAACTGTGTGGGGGTTATTACCAGTTACTACAGAAAATTCTTCATGCTGCTAGAGATCTAGTCTGTGCTCTAGAAATATTAAACTGGTCTTATTCTTTTTTTTTTTTTTTTTTTTGAGACAAAGTGTCTCTGTGTAGCCCCAGCTATCCTGGAACTCACTCTTTAGACCAGGCTGGCTTCAAACTCAGAGATCCATCTGCCTCTGCCTCCCAAGTGCTGAGATTAAACGTGTGCACCACCACTGCCCAGCTCAATATACATTTAACTACATTTTGAGCACAGCATGGCGGATTCTTCAAGGAGTACGTGGGCAAGACGAGCCTGGTGGAGCGATACGTGCACGACCGCTTCTTGGTGGGCCCCTATCAGAACGTGAGTCAACCCCTCCCTCCGCAGCAGGCGCGGGAAGAAGGGGGCCGGCCCCGCTCGACGCTTATCTCTCCCCTGGTTGCAGACCATCGGGGCTGCCTTCGTGGCCAAGGTGATGTGCGTCGGAGACCGGACGGTGACTCTGGGTATTTGGGTAAGTCCCTCGGGGATGCATACAGTCTTGAGCAAACGCATCCCCAGGTGTAATGTCTTGCCTTAAACTAGCCAACTGGAGCCCCATAGAGGGCGTTTTTCCTTCCCCACACCCATTAGCTTAAAAAAAAACGGGGGTCTGGAAGACGCGGGCCTAGTTCGTAGTCTTATGAAGGAGCTCATTAACTCCTTTCACCCGCCAGGACACAGCAGGATCTGAGCGCTACGAAGCCATGAGCAGGATCTATTACCGGGGTGCGAAAGCTGCCATTGTCTGTTATGGTAAGGGGTTGGATTCTGGCCTGTTCAAGTAAGGTTTGGGTTACAGGCCGGCATCCGAGGTTAACTACTGATTCTTGGTTGTGTCTCCCGTCTGATCCCTACCAAGACCTCACTGACAGCAGCAGCTTTGAGAGAGCCAAGTTCTGGGTGAAGGAGCTGCGCAGTTTAGAGGAGGTAGGTGGCCAGATCTTACAGGTCAGCGACAGGGACTCCCTTGGCCTGTGCAGATCATCTCAGCCTTGTCTTCTGCTACAGGGCTGTCAGATCTACCTGTGTGGCACTAAGAGCGACCTGCTGGAGGAAGACAGGCGGCGCCGTCGTGTAGACTTCCATGATGTCCAAGACTATGCAGATAGTAGCTGTTATAAAGTCTTTTGAGGGTGGGGGGCAGGGGGTGGGTGATACCTGCTTGAGCCATCACAAGGACAGAAGACTGACAGCCTTGGCTGCTCTCTGCCCTTCTTGACCCTATGGGATCCAGGACCCTGAACTGGTAGCTTTAGGTCTGAGCTTCAGGTATGAAGACTTAGTCACTTCTCTTTGCAGATATCAAAGCCCAGCTCTTTGAAACATCCAGCAAGACAGGCCAGAGTGTGGGTGAGTGTTGTCTTGAGGTCTGTCAGCAGGAGCAGGCAGGACACTGGAGGAAAAAAGTTCAGAGGGCTGGGTCACTCTCGGGGGTTCCCGGAGCTCTTGGCACCAGGACCTCACTGATGCTTTGCTTGCCAGACGAGCTCTTCCAGAAAGTGGCAGAGGATTACGTCAGTGTGGCTGCTTTCCAGGTGATGACAGGTGTGTACTTCCTACCCTTTAAGATTGCCTCTAGGCTCATGGTCTCTAGCCCTGTTGGGACTTACCTGTTCACCTGCCATGATGGCGCTGAGCAGCCACCTCTCTCTTTGACAGAGGACAAAGGTGTGGATCTGAGCCAGAAGGCAAACCCTTACTTCTACAGCTGTTGTCATCACTGAGTCACAACTCATCTGGCCTGGGAGAATTAAATGAATTCCCCAGAGGGGCTGGACCCAATTCTTGTCTGGGCTGGCATGGTCAAGTGTCTGAGCTACTCCAGGTGCCCATGACAGCAGAGGTGGCACCTGCCTGTGCTGGCCCATGGAACGGAGGCAGTACTGGGCAGACTGTGGGCATGAAGAGGGTTAAGGGCAGATTTGAATCCCAGGCTTCTATCCTGGACAGAACTTGTCACAGGTTATTTAAGTAGCTTCTGAACTGTAAATAAAATTGATGCACTGTGACTCACAGCCCCTTCCCTGCTGTGTGCACTGGGTGTCAAAACACCCGGTTGTTCCTGGGGCCACCTGCCTGGCCTCACTTCCTCTAAGACTGACCATTTGGAAACCAAGTAACTGTCACTGCGATCATGGAGGAGCAATGGGCTCTTACATCCCCACATCCATGTGCGTTTGTATGTGTATGTGCATGGAGAGCAAACCCTCAGGGCTTCTAACACAGGCAGAAGCTTTACCACTGAATGATACCAGTCACTTTGTTCTGTGGGGATGAAGACAGGCTTAGAAACTGGGATGGAGGAGTACAAAGCTCATGAGAGCAAGGAAAACACCTACTAAGTTGTGCCACAGATGAAAAGGCTTGGCCATCACCAATCTCAAGACAAGGTGGTTTGGCCAGCTCTACTTCTCGTGTCATGTCTAGACCTGTGGCTCTATGAGTCAGCCCCCAGCCTCCCTGGGACGCCTTGTAGTGTATTTAACAAGAGGCAGTCCATAGTTCTGCAAGTCAGTGCCGTATGGATCCGAGATAGCGTCTAATGTAGAAAAGGGATTTGAAACTGGGTGGTGATGGTGGCGCTCGCCTTTAATCCCAGTACTCAGGAGGCAGAGGCAGGTGACTCTATTGAGTTCCAGGCCACCACAGCTATATAGTGAAATCCCTACTCCCACCCCAAAACCCTAATTAAATAAATACGAGAAAGAAACCTGAAACAAGTGCTAATTTGTTCAGGATCAGAAATATCCTGAAAAGCTAGATGTCAATGTAAAATGGGCGAATACTTCCTGTTTAAACAGGAAGAAGTGTACTACAGCCCTTTCCAGGTGTTAGTGTTAGGGTGTGGCGCGAGGTAGGGGCCCTGTTGTCGCTGCCGCTGTCCTATTTAGGCATCAAAGAACTTGCCTTTGAAGATTTCAGAATTACCAACCTGGTCCCATTCCTGCCCAGAGGGCATTTTGGCACCAGGGATAGTGTGTTTCTGTCATCTAAGCAACCAGGCAGCTGAGGCAGGAGGAAGACTAGCTTGAGGTTAACCTGGATTGCATAGTGAGACTTTGTCTCAAAAACAACCCAATGCATTGGTTTCATTTCCCTTTAAAATAATCTCTCAAAAACCTGAGGGTGGTGGTGGCAGAACTTGCCTTTAACCCCAGCCCCCAGGAAGCAGAAGCAGGCAGATCTCTGAGTTTGAGGCCAGCCTGGTCTGCACATTATTCCTATCTTGAAAAAGACATATAAGAACCTCTTGTATGGTAGAGGGTTCTTGCGAAGGAAACTGAAACTAACACCAGACATTCCCAATAGGAAGGAAGGATGCTTAGGCAGCACCTGGGAGGAAACCATGCCAACCTTCAAGTACTTCAAGGGCTCAGGTTGGCTCCTGCTCTTATCCCAAAACGGTCAGTCCTCTGTCTAAGCTACATCTCCCCAGAGACAATAAAAACACAGGGCAAGGGCCATAAGAGTAAAGTTAAACTTTACTTTACAGTAATTTTTTCTATATACAAAGAATTACAGTACATGTTTATGGGGACTCCTAGTGCAGGGCTCCCCTCTTTTTCACTAGGAGGTTCACTTCCAGCTGACAGTCTGTTGGGAGGTGAGAGAACAGTGATGGACCTTGGCTGAACACTTTTCCCATTTAAAAAATAGAGCTTTGTAGTCAGCTTTCTTCGCCAAGACCTAAGAAGCTGCTTTTCCACGAGCTCCTAGGGGCTGCACTCACCCAACTTCCACACTCACCTACACACGTAAGGCGGCAACACCACAACCTGGAGACCACCTCCTGCCATCCTGGAAAACACCAGCACCCTTGGCTTCTACTCAGCTCCCTGTGTCTGGCCTGCCTCTGTCAGAGCTGTGCTAGGTTCCAGGAGCTACTCCTGGAGCCCCTCATAGTCACAGGAAGGCTGCCCTAGGGGAAGTACCACAAAAGAGTTTAGTATGCTTTGCTTCTGTTGTAAGGAAACATCTCTTTTGAGGTTGTAGTTGTCTAAATAAGCTCTTCCAACTGTCTTAAGAAACACCGACCTTGTTCATATGCAACTGAGATGCTGCCACGAGAGGGGAGGAGGTAGAGAAGCAGAAGGTAAAGGACACCCCACACCCACAGCTCTCTTCTAACCTGTCCTAGGCAGGATGGGACAAGGTGACCCTAGCCCTGAGAAACTCAGTGGCCATCACTGGATATGGGATCATCTCTTCCACCTCTGGACTGTACTCAACACTCCAGGGTTGGGTCGGCAGACATCAGCAACGCGCTCTCTGCCTACCGCCTGTCTCTCTCTCACAGAGCTGAAAGGAACCTATATAAATTATCTTCCCAAATGGGAACCCGCGTGTCTCATGTCACCACGCCCTCAACCCTTGGCAGTGCTTATTTATACCATGAGATTAGCACCATCATTACATTGTTTTGTGTACAAAGCAATTATTTGTATTTCAATTACACTAGAACTTCTGCACGGACCTAGGGAGTTCAGCGGAGAGCAAAGTGGTCATAGCTCCTGCCGTAGCTACCTAGGTCTAAATGACTTGGGATATTTAACAGGAATTTCCTGCTGCTGCTCCTGTCCTCTGAACTAGGAAGTGAGGACATTGGGCCTCTTTTCATCCAATGACAACATCCCCAAGAGGATGACAATATCCCGGCAAGTCTTAGAAAACAATTTTTTTGGAGCCGGGGCCAAGACCCATCTAACTGAATGCTCGCTCTCCTGATTGCCCAGCATGGACAACCTAGACATCCTCCCTGTCAGTTCTGACTACACTGACTACAACCTGCAAGTACCACTTTAGTAACCAACAGTGCAGAGCCACGAAAGCTCACTACTGCACTTCAAGCCCGGACTGTAGTGTGGGTTAGAGGATATGAATACCAAAGGTGCAGGATTGGTTTTAAAAAAAAATTGACACAGTGACATAAATAATTTCAAACTGAGAAATTTTAGGGAAGCAGACATCTAAAAATACTTTTTTGGGGTGTGTGTGTGTGTGTGTGTGTGTGTGTGTGTGTGTGTGTGTGTGTGTGTGTGTGTGTGTGTGTGTGAATGATGGCCGTCTTTTATTAAAATGGGTAGGCTCCAATCCCCTTATATTCTGACCTAATTAAAAAAGAGAAGTTTTAGTTACTACCTAGGAGCATTTCTGCCTTTGGTTTGTCCCTGGAAAGTACTTTCTGGGTGCTGTCTCACAGGCAGATTCTCTGGCCATCCAAATTTCAAGCACCCAACCAAATGCCAATGCCAAAATACCACCTGTTCAATGGTTAGAAGTTTCTAATAAGATTTTCTCTGCTGCCAATTTACACCCTAGAGAAAGGGATATTACAGGATTCAAAAGCAGTCCAGAAGAACTGCAAGGTCACCCTCTTCCCCTGTCACACTCAAGTCACACCCCTCCCCAAGCACTCATGATACTAAAGGACAGCAACCACTGGCAGTTTTAACACAACTCTCATGCTGTTGTCTTCGGTCTCTGCTCAAATGTCTAGTATCCATTCAACAACACAGTGGCACTGGACAGGATGTGCCTGTCATTAGAAGGCCTCCTCGCCCATGCTCCGAACCCTCCAGCCCACAAGTACACAGCTCAGAAAATGTTTCCCCGGCAGGTCTGGAAGGAAGGCTCCAAAGAATGGTGGTGCATGGAAATATGAAAACAAAACACACTTGGCCAATCCTAACCTCCATCCCTCCCTCTGCCCTGTGAGACATTTCTAGACAGCTGTCAAAGCCAATTACCCACTGAAACCTATTTTAGAGAAGCGATGTCAAGACCAAACTTCTCCATTTAAAATTTTTACATAGCCTGCACCCCCCCACCCACCCCCAATTCACAGTTTATTTCAGAGCTACGGTATCAAACACACAACATAGTGAAAGGAGACTCTTGACAGTGCAGTTCAGATATCTTTTTCTGATCACAACTACAGATGACAGGAGAGCAAAGGGCACAGGACTGGCACCAAGCAAACCTACTCACACAACCTAAGAAATCAGGGAAGGGGCCTACTAGCTGCAGTTATATACTTATATTCTCACACATGATAAATACGTAATATAGTGAACTTTAATGTCCTGGGTGAATTTCTTTAAAAATATTTTCTTCATGGTTTAAAATTTTTTTTTAAAAGAAAATAAGATGCTTTATGTTTTCTCTTCCTTTTGAACACAGATGCCCTGGGGATGAAAGGATGAAAGGGGAGAACTAGGCAGGTAACTCAGAGAGGAGATTCTGAGGTCTCCCCCCCAGAAACATACTTGGGGAAAATAAAAGCAGATACTACTCTTTACTCTTAATTTTTATATAAAGCACAAATGCTTCTGTAACCACCACTGTTCTTTCCTCTGGAGAAGTGATGAGAGCTAACCTCAACAGGAACTTAGGGAGAAGGAAACTAGGGCAAAACAGAATCCTGTTGAGGGTGTAAAAGCTGTAACTGAGACAAAAAGGCCAGATATTTTGGCCAGGAAATGCCATTTGTTGGCTAAAGATACTAAGTTGGCAAAGCAGACAGGTAACAAACACATGGTCTGAGGACAAAGGGCAGGTGGGTTTGATAGAACTAGCCAAACAGCACTTCCTGTTGGCAGTTGATGAGCTGGGGAAACGGTAGGGCGGGGTAGCACCAACAGATTCCCAGCCCTTGGGTCCCAGCTCAGGGCAGCAGTAACAGATAATCAGCAGTTATGAGGAGTCATCTCTTAGATTGGACATTGCTCCAAACACATTTCTCCAGTCTTGGGGAAGGGCTCTGGCTTGCATAAGTTAAGATACCAGGCACATGCTCTCTAACAGAAAGCATAGCCATTCACAGGGGTGGAGAGGGAGCCCTCCCTTCAGGTAGGAGGGCATGAGACCATGAGAAAATTCCCACCGTGATCTGATACGATTCTTGAAGGTGGTGTGTCTTGCTAGGAGCTTGCCAGAAATTCCCTATGTCCACTGCCCAAGACTGAAATCTGAAAGCACCTGAGTGTTTGAGGAAATGCAGACGGGGTAGGTTCTGGTAAAAGGATTATTGGTAGAAAATACAGGTAAGCTTGCCAATTAATTGCCCTTGTCCACTTCTGGGATACTACATTCTCAGAGACCAGCTCCCTCTAACCAGACACTCCTCCAAGGACAAATGTTCAGACTGCAATACACCGAGATTGCAGCAGCTGCTCCAGCCAATAGCTCACCTTGGCCTTGATGTAGCGCCCTTCCATTCATAGAGAAGACCTTTGCAGGCACACGCATGCACATACATGCATGCATGTTCCAAAAAGAAACTTATGTTCAATACAGACACATTCTGGGCCACACATGTGCGCACACCCACACCCACTAGAGAACGAACCTGGAAATTCATGGCCTAGCAGTGCTTTCTGTTGTTCTCTGGTCAGAGGTCCTTGAAATCTCCTGGGAACCCAAGCAGGGAAGTTGGGCTCATTGGGACCAGGCCTTATATAATTCTGTCTTACACAAACGACTAGCCTCCTGACTTTAGCACACATCAATACTCAGGAAACTGCAGTGATTTGAATGAACATCAGAGCCTCCTAAAGGTTTATCAGGTGTTCTCAATGGGGCGGGACTGCAGGGCCAGGGAAACAGCCTTGAGAACCCCTATACTTTCCAACTTGACCAGTGGAATTGAATTCCATGCTTGATTCCAGAGTGGACTTTTTATTTTAAGTTGACCATATGTAAAAGTTAGGGCAAAGAGACTCAAGTCTGTCTGTCTCCTTGACTGGGGCCCGACGAATTTCCATACATGGTTCACACAAACCACAAGTCCCCATGGGCTAATGTCACTAGAGTTCTGAGTGTTGGGGGGTATAAGGAAAGAAGAACAGTGGAAGTGTTGGGAATATGTCTGTTTTTCAAGAAGGAAAAAGGAAGATTTACCTCCCCAAAACGGTACCCTGGGGTCAGCTTGCCTGGTTATGTGGTATTTACTGTATTATTTCTTTTCTGACTCTGCGCATTTGCGACTAGAAGGAGCCTGGTTAAGAGCTTGAACTGTATTTTGCTCTGGTTTGGGGTCTTGCCCTCTTCCAAGGGACCAGCAAGTTTGTGCCAATGTCTGTGTGCCCCCAGCAGACCAGCAAGCCTGGGCTAGTGTTTGTCCAGCCACTATGGGCCAAAGCCCTGCCCCTGGTGAGGCTTTCCCAAGGCCCCAGGGACTCTGTTCTGTGGTTGTCAACTTCTTCTCTTCATTGGGAAGAGAAGCTGGGATCTTCCCAAGAGACCTGAAGGACTGCCCACTCTTGGCAGTAAGTCCTCTAGATAGCTGCTTCACCTGTTTAATCAGGCCTGGTGCTGAGTTGGGAGGTCCTGGGGTCTGCTCAGCTCCCACAGGAGCTCTTCCTGAGGCTTGAGTTGCTGATTCATATAAAAAAGCCTTGGCAGAAGGTGGAGAAAGAAGTCTGGCCTGGGTGAGTGATTTAACAGCTTGCCAAGGGTGTTCTGAAGGAGCTGCTGCTTTCCCGGCTGGCAGGAGGGAATCTGACACACTGCTTTTCTCCACAGCCCGTGGCATATGCCCCAGACCTTTGCTGGATGGCCATGGGCTTGATTCCAGTACGGGCGTCTTCTCATCAGCCTGTGGTGTGATGTCATGAGGAGACGCAGCCCGCTCCTTCTGGCGAGGAGCCAGGTCCATCACTAGAGAGGCTCTGTGCTTTGACTGAGTGTTCTGGTCCACAGGCCTGAGTGCTTTTTCTTTAGCTACCAGAGACTGGACCACAGCAGATAGTACTTTCTCAGGAGGGGGAAGTCTCTGGGTCAAAGAGGCATGGGATTTGTCTGGGGGCCTGTCAGAAACCTGGGACTTGGGACTGCTGGTGGTCAGCAGTCTGTCTGGTGGTGAAAGTCTCACGCCAGTGGGGGCTGGGGTTTTCTCCACTGACTGGGACTTTGGGCTGGCAGCACCTATGGATTTATCCAGCCTTGGGTCAATCATTCCCAGAGGTCTTTCCAGTGGCAGGGACCTGACTGAGGGTAAGGAGCTTGGCTTGGTCATTGGAGAGGATTTGTCGGATGGCTGAGGTCTTGGTCCTTCTTTAGTAGGTGGCCTGTCCTGTGGCCTCTGGCTGGATACCAAGGACTGGGATTTGGTCCCTGATCCAGCAAGGTCTCTGACCCTATCTGAAAGGGGGGAACTAGACTCAGTTCTCTCAGGTCTTTCAGGTAGCATTGGCCTCTGACAAGTCCCTGTCAGGGCTTTCTTGGAGACTGGCAGCCTCTGAGTGGCATTAGTAGGTGGCTGATCAGACGTCTTGGGCCCCTGAGTAGCCATCCCTGATGACTGCTCTGTCAGTTGGGTGCTGGGGCTTGGAGACAGTGGCACTGGGGGAGGCACATACTCACGGATCTCCCCTGGCTCCAGAGGGTTGGGCCCACAGGGGTCATGCTCAGTACAAGACAAACGCCCATCGAGCTTGGAAATGAAAAGCATCCCTTCTCGATGCTGCTTGCAAAAGGAGCTGGGGCACATCTCACAAAAGGAGGCTGCTTCCTTCCCACAGACGTCACACTGGTGCCAAGGACACTCCCATTTCCCTGAAAACAAGAGTGAACAAAAGCTTAGGGAAAATAGATGCATGTGAGATGACCACAGCTCTGAGACTGGTCCACAGGAGTGGCTGCAAAGCCTCCTTCAAACTGCCACATTCTTCAGAGTTTGTGCAACTCACCTGCCATTACTCCTTCCCCAGAATTTCAGCTTCCTCTTCTGCACAAAACAATATATAAAATAACAGCAAAGAATCAAGGTTGAGTAACTAAGTATCAACTAAGCATAAGCAAGAGACTATTTCTAGCAAGGGCCTACAATAGGAAACCAACCAAACAACCCCAAAGTGTCTCTCTTAGATGAAACAATTACTACTGCCTCTACATTGTTCACAAACTCACTTTGTCCTATTAGTTTGTTTTGTGTTATTTGAAACAGGGTCTCACTATGTAGCCCAGGGTTGCCTTAACTTACATTTGTAGGTATAGCACCATGCCCAGATTTAGCCAGCTTTTAAATACCCACTCAAAGAGAACATTCCAGCTTTTTAACAGTCTTGGTTGTTTCGTTTTCAGCAGAAATAGAATAAGCATACACAGTTGCAAAAATAATAAGGGAAGCTGACTCACCTTTGCTGAATTTTAAGTCTTGAAACCAGCACAGACTTTATCTGGATTGTCCATGTAGAAATGGGGAAGAACTAAAACTAACTTAAGATTGTATCTGCTTCCCCATGAAGCAGATAAGCGTTCCCTTTTCCAAATGCATTAGGCTAGAACTCACTGATGGAACACAAGCATGCCAGTCACATCCTGTGCCATCAAAGTGATTGTGAAAAAAATCCCCTATTTCTACTTCCTGGTACCTTATTCTACTGGACTCTGTTCTGGACTATACAAAGAAAATCAGCTCAGAAACAAACTCCACTGATTTCTACCCTAAAGTTATCCACTTTCTGTATATTTTAGAAGCAGGAATTAGTGGTACGTATTCCTTAACATATCAGTAGGGATGTGTTATATGTTAATCAAAAGGATCTTTAAAATAGATATGCATCTGCTGTTTGTACTTCTCAATAGTTAGCCTGTCCAAATGGCTAGAATCCTAAGACCCAACTTTTCCCAACACAAATTCCTGGCTTCCTCATCTACCTGAGCAGCTTTCTCATGTGTAAACTGATACAACTATCTCATCCCCAAAGAAAAAGTAGACTCTTGTGGGGTTGAGAGAAACTGTGGGTAAAGGGCTGTAAACCTATTTTTCATTGACTAAAGTGTCTACTATGCCCCTGGAAAGGAAATGTGATTTGGTGGCCTTGGGGTCAAAACACTTGTCTTTCAGTGCAGCTCTTTCAACTATCTGCAACAAGTAACCCGTCAATAGTCATTTGCTTTTTCCACATGCACATATGGACAGAAAACAAATCTTTATGAATTGCTGTAAATAATTGAATGCAAATGAAAACGAGTTTCTATTTTCTTCCCAATGATCTAGCATTGTATGCCTTTGTGATTACTTTATTCTCAATATAAGCACATGGACCAGGTCCCTCTGGGTTGGCATATGCTCACAATCAGCATTCTCTTTCAGACTGAAGCAAATGGCATCAGATCCTGGAAACTGACAGAAAACAAGGAGTGCTCTGAATGGACGCTGGCACCAACCTGCGGGTCGCTTGGTCAGATTGAGACAGTCGGCGTGGTAAACTTTCGGGCAGCCCGGCTTCTTGCAGGAGACGAGCTGACCAGCATCCCCACAGCTGAAACACTCATCCTCTCTTTCCTTTGTGACTTCACCCTGGCTCCTGCGTTTCCCATGTTGCTTCTTCTTGAATTTTCTTGACTTTTCTTCCGTGACAATGGGCTGATTCTGGAGGTCAGATATCGGTCAGTCAATGTCCTCTCAACAACTCAGGTATGTAATCTTAACTAGATTAACTCTCTTTTCAACCTCAGTTTTTTTCTGGAAAAAGACAATATTCAAGAGAGTGTTGCCAACATAAAAGATAAAATGCAGGAAAGCACCATGACATCTCAGATGCCCAATATTACCTGCAATCTCAAAAATGAAACAAAACAGTACAGGGGCAGACAGAGGAGATGGCTCAGCAATTAAGAGCACCTGCTGCTCTTCCTCCTCTACTGGTCTCTGTGGGCACCAGACATACAAACCTTGCACAGACATACATGCAAACAAAACGCACATACACATAAAATGGAATAAAATTTAAAATGTATGTATCATACTTTCTGTGTTTTCCAAATTGTCAAGCTTTGACCTTTGAGAACTCTTCTCATTTGGCTCTGTCCTTGTAACACAGGCCCATCTCTTATGTATTTTAGTGCTTCTTTGATTAAAAAGAATTTTGTTTTGTTTTTGAGCAGGGCTCTCTTTTTATGTAGCCTTCTCTATCCTAGTATTTGCTATGTTGACCAGGCTGGTCTCAAACTAAAAGAGATCCACCTGCTTCCCGCCTCCCCAGCTGCCTGTCCCTATATGATTTAGATGTAACCATTTTGGCTACCTGGCGTTTGGTATGCTGTCTTTGAGCTTCTGCCCTGCTGCTGGCTCCCCTCTCCTCCCTCTCCCCATATGGCTCAGGGTCATGTTCACTCTGGACTCTCCCAGATGACCCTGCCTCGGGCAATGCTCTCCTGTTTATGATACTTTCCCCTACACCATTCCTAGAAGCAGTCATGTATCCTCTTTCCTTCCTTCCTTCCTTCCTTCCTTCCTTCCTTCCTTCCTTCCTTCCTTCCTTCCTCCCTTTTCATTCACCACCCTGATAAGATGGTTCAATCGGCCAAATTCCCACATAACCAAAAACCGTTAGAAATCCCCTAGCCTTGAAGTTTTGGGGTTATAAAACAAAACAAAACATTTCTTCTATGTTTGGGAGAATCTGCTTTAGGGAGACAGCCTGTATGACAGAAAGTAAAGCTTGTTTAATTCAACCAAGAGGGGGTGGGGGTGGGGAGGGAGGGAGAGGAGAGAGACAGAGAGAAATCACCTGCCTCTGACTCACAGTTATTGTGTGCACATATGTGTCTGTGTATGGGCACACACACATGTACAATGGTGTGTGTGCGCGTGTGAAGGTCAGAGAACTAGAAAGACTCAATTCCCTACTTCCACCTTTAGGTCTTTGGAGACTGAATTCAGGTCATTAGTAATGAGCACCTTAATCCGATCATTTGGGAGGCAGAGGCAGGTGGATCTTTGTGAGTTTGAGGCCAGCCTGGTCTACATAGTAAGTTCCAAGACAGCTAGAACTACATAGTGAGATCATATCTCAAAATAAAAACAAAATAAAAAAAAAACCAAACAAACAAACAAATAAAAAAAACCTCACTAAATGAAAGGAAAACCACCAGAGGCCTGAGAGATGGCTAAACAGGTAAAGGCACTGGTCTCCAAATCTGTGCTCACATGACTCCTATAGGTTGTCCTCTGACCATCCTATAGCACTCATCCATGTGTGTATGTATGTACACATACACACAGATTAAATAAAGAGAAAAACAAATGAACAAACAAACAAAAAACAAAACAAACAACCTTCAGTGAAAAACAGCAGCCAGGGATGGGGTTGCACACCTATAATCCCAGTACGTAATGGAGCAGAGACAGGACAGACTCAAGTTCAAGGCTGTTCTGGACATGATAGCAAGATTCTCTTTTAAGTAAGAAAAGGGGTTGGAGGCACTGGCTAGTCTTCGAGAGGATGTGGGTTTGGTTCCAAATGTCCATAAGGAGATTCACAAACTCTAATTCCAGTTCTGGGGGCTCCAATGCCCTTGGTGGCCTCTCTGGGTACAATATGCATGTGATGCAGACATCTATACAGGAAAACACCCATACACATAACATAAAAGACAAATCTCCTGAACAATTACAGCACTGTAACTCAGTTAAATGCACATAAACAGCTGGGTGTTGGTGGTGCACGCCTTTAATCATTCATGGTTTGTTTGTTTTTTGTTTTTGGCTTTTCAAGACAGGGTTTCTCTGTGTTCTGGCTGTCCTGGAACTCACTCTGTAGACCAGGTTGGTCTCAAACTCACAGAGATCTAACTGCCTTAGCCTCAGCCTCATAAGTGCTGGGATTAAAGGCGTGAGCCACCACTACCCGGTACTTCATAGTTTTTATTTAGCTGCAAAAAAATATTTTTTTTTGGCTAGAAAAGTACTATTAAGTCAAAATTGCTCAAAACCCTATACCAACATCAACTAGATCAGGACAATGCTCAGTAAAAACTCCATTATTTCAAAGAATAGCTTCTTAAAATGAAGACTCATCCCTAGCACTGTACCATTGTTGCTAATATAAAAGTTTGGAAAGTGATACCTTTGGCCTTACACCCAAGAAGCCACTGCAGTTCGGGGCTCCACATTTGCAGACAGTTTTTCCATTCCCAAGACATTCTAGGTTGTAATTGAAGGTAAGTTCAGTCCCTGCATAAAGACCACAAAAATATTAACATATATGGTTATATATTTCTTAATAATAAATGACAACTACTAATAGAATACTTATATTTTATTTTTTTGTTTGTTTGAAACAGGTCTCTCTATGTAGTCTAGGCTGTCATGGAACTCAGAGAACCTCCTGCCTCTGCCTCTTGAGTGCTGGGATTAAAGGTGCGCACCATCATACCTGGGTGAGAATAACTTTAAGAGAACAAAATTTTAAATGTGTTGTTAACTAGCTGTTTTTGTGCCTTAATTTGCTAAAACTTTAGTTTGGTGTTACTTGTTCATCTGTTTTTTAGTTGGGGGAGGCTTTGCTAGGGATAAACCTGGGGTTTCCCTACGTACTAGGCAAGGAAGCTATGCCCCTAGTCCTCTATACCGATCTTTAAATTTTACATATTGCTATGGGTATTGGATTGTATTCTCTAAAGAGATATTATTTCTCCATGGGCTGTTTGTTTGCATGTATGTCTGTCTGTGCAAGGCTTGCATGCCTGGTGCCCACAAAGGCCAATAGAGGGTATCTGATCCCCTGGAATAATGAGTTAGAGATGGTTGCAAGCTGCGAGTATCTGTGGATGCTTAGATTCACACCTGGGTCCCTTGGAAGAGCAGCAGGTACTCTTAACCGCTGAGCCATCTCTTCAGCCCCTGTACCGTTTTGTTTTGTTTTTGAGATTGCAGTTAATACTAACATTTGAGATGTCATGGTGCCTTCCTGCACAAAAACATACTCTTCCTGAGCTGGGCAAGGTAGCATACACATACTTATAACCGCACAGGTTTAAAGGCTGAGTTAGCCCCTGTTTTTTGTTTTCCAAGACAGGGTTTTCCTGTGTAACAAACAGTCCTGGAATTAGGGCTGTACAACAGGATGTCCTTGAAATCACTGATGGTCTCTCTACCAAGTGCTGGGATTAAAGGCATGCACTACCACGCCCAGTACATAACAGAAATCTAAGCAGCAAGTGATAATTTAGAATAACCTTTATCCTTAAAGTATCACTTCTCGGGGCTGGTGAGATGGCTTAGAGGTTAGAGCACTGCCTGCTCTTCCAAAAGTCCTGAGCTCAATTCCCAGCAACCACATGGTGGCTCACAACCATCTGTAATGAGATCTGGTGCCCTCTTCTGGCCTGCAGACAGAACACTGCGTACACATAAATCTTTAAAAAATACACTAACTCACTAATAAAAATACATACACAACTTGATGGTAGGATGTTGGCACATACTGCAACCCTGGCACTCTGAGATAGAGGCAGAGGCAGAGGCAGAAAGATCACTGTACAGAGAGTAGTATGCTGGCACTCAACAGAGGGAGACGACATCTTAACAAAACAAAACAGGTTTGAGGAGATGGCTCCATGGGGTTTAAAAGCACTCGCCATGTAAATATGAGAACCTGAGTTTGAATTCTAAGAATCCACATGAAAGCTGAATATTTGAGTGGGAACTAGAGAATCCCCAGGAGCTCAAGGGCCTTGAAATCAAGCTTAATGTGAGCAGCAGAGAACCAACAAAGAAATCCTGTCTCAAAACAAGGTTAAGGCAGGGATCATCATCTGATCTGATGTCTTCTGATCTCCACATGCTTAGCTTGTGTGTGCCTAGCCACAGACACACATATACACACAGAGACACACAGACACACACTTTTATCAGTATGCCAGGCATGAAGGATGCAAATTTGAAAAACCCTTGCCAGTTATATGTCCCTTTGAATACACCTTATGTGGCAGCATTTGGTGGAAGAGGCATTTCACCACAAAGTAATACTGTTAGGAGAGTAAGATCACAGATGGACGATGCATGTAATTATGTCATAACCTAGTTAGGGGATCTGAACTGGATGGAGTAGCTGTATTCATTCATAGAAAGACAGCAGTATCTCATGTAGATCAGGCAAGCCTTGAACCAACAATGCAGCTGAAGAACTCCTGGATTTCCTATATCCAATTCGGGAGTACTGAGATTATAAGTATGTGTTACCACAGCAGGCCAAATAGCCAATGTTGTAAGTGAAGAAATAATACATCTGTTTGGAGAATACAACACAGTATCCACAGCAATACCGAAAATTTAAAGACCAATATAGAGGACTAGGGGCATAGTCCTAGACTTGCTTGCCTAGTTATGTGGGGAAACCTTGAGTTTAGCCCTAGCAAAAACAAATTAAATAAACAAACAACAACAACAACAAAAAACAAAACCCCAAATTGTCGAAAATTAGGCACAAAAAATGTACTCTTCCTGAGTAACATACACACCTGTGATCCCAGAGGTTAAAAGGCTGTGTTAGCCACTGTCTTAATAACAAATTCTAATGAAACAAACTTTAACAAGTCAGACCTGACTTCAGTGAATCAGAACTGAAAGGAAATAAAATACAAACACTCAAACTCAAAAGTAGGTAGGCTAAACAGATATGAGAATTTTATGTGAATACAAATACATGTATTTTTTAAAGCAATCTCACAGCTAACATGCAAGGTTAATCATTCATACTCAAAATCATCAAGTTTTAGGAATATTAACAATTGCAGATAGATATTCTATTTTTTAAATTTATTTTTATTTTATATGCATTGGTGTTTTGCTTGCATGTATGAGGGTGTCAGATCTTGAAATTATAGACAGTTGTGAGCTGCCGTGTGTGTGCTGTGAATTGAACCCAGGTCCTCTAGAAGGGCAATCAGTGCTGTTAACTACTGAGCCATCTTTCTAGCTCCAATACTCTATTTTTTATTTAAAATTTTAGAATATGTTCTGTCTGTGTGCATGCACTTGTGTGTGTGTGTGTGTGTGTGTGTGTGTGTGTGTGTGTGTGTGTGTGTGTATGTGTGTATATGTATGTGTATGTATGCATGTGGTGTACATGTGTGGCAGTGAGTGGACAGCTTGTGAGTTAGTTTTCTCCTCCCACGCTACGTGTTTCTGGGACTCTAACTCAGGCCATTCGATTTGGCCAGGAGGCCTTTACCCACTTCACCATCTTGCCAGCTCTGATGTACATCCTCAAAGTGAGACCAAGAAAGACAGGTTTTCATCAGATGCTGGAAATCATTATTACTTTCTTTAATTGAACAAATATAAAGCCAAGTGACTGATACTTAGACCCATGTTGGAGAATTAAAAGTCATCTGTAGGGGCTAGAGAGATGGCTCAGAGGTTAAGAGCACTGGCTGCTCTTCCCGAGGTCCTGAGTTTGATTCCCATCAACCACATGGTGGCTCACGACCATCCGTAATGACATGTGGTGCCCTCTTCTGATGTGCAGATATACATGGAGGCAGAATGTTATATACATAATAAATAAATAAAACCTTAAAAAAATCATCTGTAGTTAGATCACCGAGGGGCTGCAAAAAACCAAAAACAAAAAACCCCTTATAACCCAAGACCAACCAGGGTTAACAGCAAGGCTGTGGCCCCCTCCTCACACTGCCTATAGAAACATTGGTCTAAATACAGGTGGTGCTATTTACCCTGTTCTCATTTAAAAGTTTGTATGAGTAGGGAACAGTGCAGGATGAGCCACAATGCGGAGCACTGTGCCCTACATCTTTAATCCCAGCACTGGAAGACAAAGGTAGCTGGTCTATTTAATAACTTTCACACCAGCCAGAACTACACAGTGAGACTGTCTTAAAACAAAACACTAGCCAACCAACCCAAAATACAATAGAGGACTGGAGAGATGGTGGTTAAGAGTGTTTGGTGCTCTTTCAGAGGACCTCAGAGTTAAGTTCTAGCAGAGCACAGCCACCTCTAATTCTAGATCTTCTAACTCTGGTGCCCCCTTCTGGACTCTTATAGCAACTAACACACTTACAGACATATAAACACATATGCATAATTTTAAGAATTCTTAAAAACAACAGAACAGTAACTGCCTAAGTTAGTTGGCTATCATAGCCCTAGAAAAATTTATTTAAAAAATCATGTACTTTCTGTACATTTACAAACTACCATACTAATGACCATAGAGGGATTGGTCAAATATTAGGCCCAAATAACCATTTCCACTTACCATAAATCATTTGTCAGTTACTGTCACACAACAAAAATGTAATCAATAGGAAAATATTCATCATATAAATACACTATCAAACTACTCACTCATATCAGATTCACTCACAATTGAGCATCTCAATTGCTTGGGTTAGGTCACCTCACTCTTACATTCTTACAGATAACTGAGTCATTTCCACACCACCATTCTTGAGTACTCAGAAATGAGTGGCTTTACAACATAGCCTTGGGCATTGGTGACAAGTTCAGGGTTAAGACGCTGGGACAGTCAACATATTGCCAACCCCATGATTTGAGTCTATCCATCCCCTTGAGAAAAGCAGTAGGTGACGGGGATTCTTTGGTTTACATGGTGAGATTATGGCAAATGTGAAAGGCAAGGTAAAAGAGGAGACTGGAGAGGCTACAAGCTTCTAAGGCAGGCCAATGTTGGGGGACTGCAGGAAGCAGAGGCTATGAGTTCAAGGACAGCCTGGTCTACATAGTGATTTCTAGACTACCCAAGGCTACAGAGTGAGACCCTGTCTCAAATTAAATTAAAGAAAGGTAAAGGCCTAGAGGATTTTTTTTTTTAATCTTAAGTTTACAATGTTCAACCTTAAAGTCATTATGTTGAATAGAAGAAACTGGTCACAAAAGGACTATTATATGATTATGTTAATATAAAGTTCCTTCTAAGCCAGGCATAGTGGCCCATGTTTTTAATTCCAGAAGAGGTGGGTAGAGTTCAAGGCTAGTCACGCTGGTCTACACAATGAAGAAACCAAAAATCAAAACTGGCCCTGATTCAATAGTTAAGAGAACTGGTTGCTCTTCTAGAGGACCCAGGTTCAAGTCTCAGCAGTCACAAAACAGCTCTGCCTGTAACTCTCTCTAGTTTACTGGAAAAACATCAGTGCACATAAAATCATTAAAAATTAAAACAAACCCCAACCTTCTCCTCACTTAAAAAAAGAAGAGAGGCAAAAAAATATCACAGTCCAATTCAGAGATAGAGTTTGGCGGAGTAGGAGGGTTACTGGGAAGAAAGGAAAGCAGGGAGAGTTTCAGGTGAAAGGTGAAGTGCTCTGGGGCAGATGTTAACAGATGTACTATAAAAACACTGAAAAATAAAAAAGCATGCTTAAGTACTTCCTGGAAAGTTATGTTTGTTTTTGTTTTTTTAAGACAAAGTATCACTGTGTAACCTTGGCTGTCCTGGCACTCTGTAGACCAGGCTGGCCTTGAACTCACAGAGATCCTCCTGCCTCTTCCTCCCAAATGCTGGGATTAAAGGTGTGTGCCACCACTATGCCAGGCACCACCTCGAAAGTCTTTACATCTCTACATATCCTTGGCAATTGGGAGACTTTCTTTCAAGTGGAGGACATAGAAGATTTTTAGACGGTTAAATGAAGAACTTGAAACCCAGGCTTAGCTCCAGTCTTTAATGACCTTACCTGCTTTAATGTCACTCAAAGCAAAAAGACCAACTCGAGTGTCCCCATTCACAGACCACTTCTGTGTTTCGCAGTTAGGCTGGCAGCAGTGGTTCATGAACCTAGCGTAGTTTCCTTTAGGGCCAGCATCAATAATTCGATCCTAGAATTTCAAGAAAAGCTACTTGTCAGATTTCCTGAGGCCTCTGCTATGTAGAAAACTAACTATTCTCGCTAATAAGATGAAGGGGATGCTTTTAAAATCAAATTTCTCAAAGCAGTGGCTCTGCATTGGTCAGCCATGGACCAGCATCATTACCAACTCCACTTGGGGTTTAACAATGGGTTATGAAAAGCCCACCTAGGGGATTCTGATCTATCATAAAATTAGAACCACTGCCCCAGAGAAGCAGCAGCTAATTCCATTTTCTAATTAGAATGTTTACAGACCAGGAGCATATTAGAAATCACTAAATGAAAATTTAACTTATTCTGACTCCCTACCCCAAAGTATAAGCAGAATGTGTGGCAGGAAAGAAAAATAAACACAAAAATACAACTTGAGAATTCTTTACAAAGGTAAAGGCCAGGAAAAGAGGGGTTAGACTAAGTACAACAGGGCACAAATGTAATCCCAAGCACTGAGAATGACAATGGCAACTTCTAGGCAACTCCTAGTAACTTAGGAAGGTTCTGATTCAAATTCAATGTCACAACCCAATCTAAAGTAACTAACATGTAATAACAAAGCATAAAATAACAAAACAAAATGACATAAAGTTCAACAGGCTGAAAATGTAGTTCTGTTGTATCATGTTTGACTAGTGTGCATAGGTTTCCAAGTACAAATCTCATCCTAGGAAAGGGAGAATTCCAAAATCATTGTATAGGAAAAAAATTTGCTGGGATATAATATTCAAGCACAAAGAACATAAGGAATATACACACTAAAAAATTTCTTTCAAAATATAACTCCAATAACCCTAAAATAAAACATTTAAAAAAAAAAAAACCTGAAATACTTACTCGATTTCTTGAGTTCTAAAATTTACATACACCTGTAGGTCATGACTCCAAAAAGATGGTCAGAAAATACAAGTATTGACAATACTGTTCATAATAGCAAAATCATAGTTATGAAGTAGCAATGAAAATAATTTTATGATTAGGGTCACCACAGCATGAACTGTATTAAAAGGTTGCAGCATTAGGAAGGTTGAAAACACTGATTTACATGATAACCACAATATACTAGTTAAACATTAGCAAATTAATCCTCCAGTTTGTAAAATAAATAAAAGGGAAAAGGATTATTAACTCTTGTGGCCTTTTCATATACTTTTATGGCATTAAAAAACCTCAACTTATATTAGACCATTCAAAAAGAGTACTAAAAACAGCTTTATTGTGTTTTGTGACTTAACCCTCTTCAGAATCAAGAACAAGAAAATAATTCCCATGTTTATGGACAAAGTCTAGAACTTGGGTCTAGGGCAAATATACTTTCAAACACAAAATAACTTATGCATTACTTACTTTATCTAGAGTGAGCATATAGAAATTGGTGATGTCATGTTCTTGTGCGTAACGGATCCGAGCTCTGCACTCTTCTTCATCTATCAGCTCACCCACGTACTCATTCACAAACTCACCCTAGCGGGAGAGGGGACAGCTTCATTGTAAAAGTGCACTGTTGTTTACATGGGCAACTCTGTCGGTTTTTTTTTTTTTTTTTTTTTTTTTTCCTCCTGCCCGGGACAGGGTTTCTCTGTGGCTTTGGAAACTGTCCTGGAACTAGCTCTTGTAGATCAGCCTGGTCTAAAACTCACAGAGATCCGCCTGCGTCTGCCTCCCGAGTGCTGGGATTAAAGGCGTGCGCCACCAGCGCCCGGATCTATGCCCAACTCTAATTTTAAAAATCATATGGATGATTTTCCAAAGTAGACTATGTGCATTTTATTATTTATGATGCCTCAGTCTCGTAATGAAGAAAATCACTTCCTCATTCCCACCAGCAGAAAAGCCCTAAGTACACTGAAGAACCACAAGAACTGAAAACGGAGAAGTGATGAAGAAACGAGAGAGAGAGAGAGGGGGGGGGCATGCCACAGAGTTCAAACAGAAGGGTTTTTTTATTAAGGGAAAGGGATGGTAAAAAGATAGGGGAGGAGGAGACGGCCTCCAGGAACAGGAGAGGTGGGAGAGAAAAAGGACAGGGAGGGAGGGACAAAGATGGGCAGGGGCCTTGTAAAAGGAAACACAGTGAATATGCACGGGTGGTACTTTTAGTGGCCTGAGCTGAGGGTTTGTCCTGTCAGAATCCCAAAGACCGGCCAGTGACATGCCTAAATACTAGCACCTGTCCTACTTACCGCCTACACTTCACACCACTTTCCACCCTACTCTGGATAGCACAATTATTCAGTTTTTCATAAATAACCTTTGAAACTTTAACCCTAATCATGGCTGGCAAACAAGAGAAATGTTTGTGCTTCCTAGAAAACTCAACAAGAGAATCGCTGTGAGTTTGATGTCAGGACACCCACGGCAAGAGACAGAAACCTTGTCTTGAAAAACCAAAACAAACCAAAAAACCCAACCAACCAAACAAAACCCATAAATGAACAAAGAAAACTTTGAAGAATCTGGCAACTCCCCTTTCAAAAGCCCACACCTACATTCTTCGGAGTGTATAACTTCCTTCCCATATACATTTCTCAAAATTCTAGAGCTTAAAAATTATATGAAAGGGGCTAGAGAAATGGTGCAGCAGATAAAAGCACTCGCTGTTCTTCCAGAGGACTGGAGTTCAATTCCCACTAACCACATGGCAGTTCACAACTGTCTATAACACCAGTGCCAGGGGATCTGACACCCTCATAAAGACAGACATGCAAGCAAGCAATAAACAAACAAACAAACACACATATTTATTTAAATCATCTTAATAAGCTTGGCGTTGGTGGTACACCCCATTAATCCCAGCACTCAGAAGGCAGAGGCAGGCAGATCTCTGTGAGTTCGAGACCACATGGTCTACAAAACTACAAAGAGAAACCCTGTCATGAAAAAAAAAGTCATCTTAATAAACTCCTAACTTGACTTAAATGCTGGAGGCCCTCCACATTTCATGTTAGGACTCTCTGCATTGTCACTGTGAACAGCTCAGTACTTCTTGTCCTATTTAATAACCCTAAACTGTATCTCCTGATTAAAATACTATAACCATCTTACCAGGCAGTGGTGGCACACTCCTTTGATCCTAGCACTCAGGAGGCAGAGGCAGGCAGATCTCTTGAGTTTTAGGACAGCCAGAAATAGACAGTGAAATCCGGTCTCAGAAACAAGAAAAAAACAACAACAAAAAACCCAACACAAAACTATAACTACCTCTTTTTCACTACAGGTTCTAGAATTTTCACAAAAGTGTTAATGTCCTAACATGTCTATGCATTTCTCCCTGGATTATTCTATATAGTGAGCATGATCAATGCCAGAACTTTGATGGCAAGAGTCGTTCACTCTCCAGTCACTACACTTTGGAGCTTATTATATTCATTATGTGTCCTCTATATAATATTTCTCATACTCATCAGGAAGAACCAGTTATATCAAACAATAGAAAACCCCTCATAATTTAAGTTTTTCATTACCTTTTTAATATCTGTTTTTGTCCGGAGACCCCAGCCCCTCTGTAATGTTCGGAAAATTTCAACATCTGGATACTGGCGCTTGCTGAAGCACTGGTTTTGACAGCGCCCTCCAGCGGGACACACTGTGGGATGGCATTCATAGAGCAGCATCCGGTTAATGCACTCTGAGTCTATCCCACAGGGGTTCTCGTCCGTAGCTTTACAGTTGCAGCGGGGAATTTCTGACAAGTCTGCAGTGAAGATCTGCACCCTGCCAATCGGACGGTTCACCTGGAGAAGCATATAGTATCGTATCAGATAAGTGAACATAAAACAATTCTGTTAAGACAAACATCACTTCCTTCAAGTTATACAGCACATATTACATGATTTGAAGAAATCAAGACTGAGGCGGTTCATATAAGTCATAAAGCCACAGCTGATACATGAAATATAAATTTCAAATCACGTATGCTGGTATATACCTGTAATCCCAGCTGTTTGGGAGACTAAGACAGGAGTTCACAAATTAAAGGCAAGCCCAGATAATTGGACCCCATCTCCAAATTACGAAGGGGAGTAATGAATGGGAGACTGGAGTTTGTAGTGCAGTGCTCACCTACAACCTGTAGGCGAAAAGATTTTAAAACCAGGGTATGGCATAAGCTAATGTATACAAATAACCACTATTTTAAAGACACATGATGCTAATAGCAGGAACCCTGAAGAGGGACAGTGAAATGGCTCAGCAGGGGAGAGAACTCACTACAAGTCTGACAAGCAGAGTACTGACTGCCACAACTGTGTCTGAAATGAAAACAAAGTACTTTTTCTTTTTCTTTTTCTTTTTTTATTTATGTTCTAAACTCTCAAAGCAGTTTTTAAATTTTTACCATGAGTGAGGAGAAGAAAGGAGCCATACACACTACCACACGGCCTCCCCAGATTTGCCCCCTCACCTTTATATGTTTATAAGGTGGTGGCTTCTTGTCATTCTTTCGGTCTTCCTGCAGTTGTCTTAGCTCTTTTTGGGCCTTTAACTCTTCAAACCTTGCTGCAGCTTCCTGAAGAGCTAGAAAACAAAAACAAAACAAAAAATCACTTAAAAAAAAAAAAAAATCTCTGGGTGAAGTTATTTTACCCTATCTCCCCTTTTAAGCTAAAGAAAAACCATGTATGGCTGGGCAGTGGTGGTGCACGCTTGTAATCCCAGCACTCGGGAGGCAGAGGCAGGTGGATCTTTGTGAGTTTGAGGCCAGCCTGATCTACAGAGAGTTCCAGGACAGCCAGGACCCTGTCTCAAAAAACAAATGAAGAACAACAACAACAACAACAACAACAAAAAAAAAAAAAAAAAAGAAGAAAAAAAAAAAAAAAAAAAAAAAAAAAGAGGAAAGAAAGAAAACCCATGTTCTAGTAACAATAAACCAACATTACTATTACAAAAAAAAAAAAACAAAACCATTACATCAAGTGATTTCTAAATGATTACATTCTAATCTCTTAATATCCATTCTGTAAACTTTACTATGGATTCCAACAGAAGCATATCTATCTAATCTAAAATCACACCATGCTTTCATAAGCCTTAGAATATCCAACAAATCTTCCAACTGCAAGTTTCTCAACATAAACTTTTAATTCATTGTTCTTCAACCAGGATAAAACTGAGAATTCTTATCTTTCCTCTCTTCTTTTTGTGGCTTTTCTCTAATGCTCTGTTACTTCTTTTAGAAGCAGGTGGATCTGTGAGTTCAAGGCCAGCCTAGTCTACAGAGTGAGTTCCAGGACAGGATCCAAAGCTACAGAGAAACCCTTGTCTTAAACCAAACCAAACCAAAAGAGAGAATTCTATCTTCTGACCCATATTGAATCCCTCCTGATTAGATTAAGTCCTACCTTGTCTTAGTGTTGACCCTCTGTTCCTCTCACAAACAATTAATTCCCTGTTATTATTCTCTTCTACTTTACTAGATATAGGCTATCATCTTATGAGCTACAGTGAGAGCCTGTCTCAATAACAAGAAGAGAAAAACTGGAATTTCAGTCTAATTGCCAGAGCCAAAAACCTTCCTGCACAACTCACTGAGTGGTTCAGAGACCTAGACAAATAATGTTATCTTCCACCTCCCCAGTTTCTTGAGACAGGGCTTCCTCTGTGTAGCCCTGGCTGTCCTCAACTCAAAGATCCACCTGCCTCTGCTGGGATTAAAGGCATGTGCCACCAAGCGCAGTTTCAAATAATGTAACTTTTACCAGCAAAACAAGGATGATATCTATTCATAAGGTAGCCATAAGAACTTATGCACTGCAGTCCGGGCATTGGTGGCTTATGCCTTTAATCCCAGCACTCGGGAGGCAGAGGCAGGCAGATCTCTGTGAGTTCAAGGCCAGCCTGGTGTACAGAGCAAGTTCCAGGGCAGGCACCAAAGCCACAGAAAAACCCTGTCTTGAAAAAAACAAAACAAAACAAAAAAACTAAACAAATCACTGCACAGACCTGAGCAACATAGTGACTACTGTTAGGGTCCTTTGGTCAAAGCGTCACTTGGCAAAGAATAGCACCTATGACTTGACCACTTCAAATCCCAGACCACCTACGCTCTTCATGCACGTCTGCCACGGCAGACACTGAATGACATCTGACTATTAATACCTAATACCTATATCAGACTCTTCCACAGAAGACATTCCTAGAGGGCAAACTATTTAGCCAGCCCTTGGTCTAGGTAGGTACAATGATAATACCCCAAAACTCTGGGAGGCTCAGACACATGGCCTTTCCTACACTCCAGCTTCTCTTCCAGTCTCAATGACAGCCAGTTTAGCACAGACAAGGATGGTGGTGGCGTAGTCACTGGCTATCTGAGACAATAAGACTCAACATTCAAGCTCTTCTATGTAATATCATTACCAAAAGTCCAAGTTTGTCCACAGAAACCACATGGCAAATAGGGCTACACTCAGATCTAAGAAGACAGGGTAAATAAACATTGCTAAGCTAGTGTTATGTTCTAAATAAAAGAACACAGGCCGCTAGAATCGCCCTGATAGTAAGCACCAGCTTTGGTCCCCCACCCCCCACCCTGGTTTTTCCAGACTGTTTCTCTGTGTAGCCTAGGCTGTCCTGTCCTGGAACTCAGGAGAGATCTGCCTACCTCTGCCTCCTGAACACTAGGATTAAAGGCATGCTCCACCACTACCTAGCTAGGCATCAGTTCTTTAAAATCCCTTTTCTCCTCACCTTGTAGACAAATTTATTGTTAAATCCTATTTAACAAGAAATATATTGCCTTCCAAAGGACAACTATAGGAAGAAGGTATTTTTCACCGAGAAATACCAAGTGCCTCACAGATTTACTTTATCCAGAAAGCTATTCATCCTCCCCTCCCCCCCATTATATCTTAAGGAAAAGACAAGGCTCAAAACTGTCTTAGTTGTGCTAATACCAGGGGACATATCTTAGCTTCAGCAGACCATACTGTCTTCAATGCTAGACCAGTTCATTAAAATTTTCTTTATTTCCCTACAATTTTAAAACCACTACAGTAGATTTGAATCTTTGTACAGCAAACTGAAGTTGTTATCCAGGTCAATCATTAGATGAGATAGATGAGATGCTGAGTCAAAGAATGGCAAAAACCAAAGAAGTCCTCCTTAAGGTCCCGTTAAAGTTAACATTGAAACTATGAGGTTTATGGAGTAACTAACTTCGCTACAAAAGCAATAGCTCTAGTAAACGTTACACTGCTAGGTCAGAACCCTGAGGATACAGCACTATATAAACACTCTCCCTCCTGCCCCTCCCAGGTCTCTCTACAGACTTGCTGTGCAGACCAGGCTGGTCTTGCCTCCAGAGTACTGGGATTTAATGGTGATGCTAACACACTCGTCCTATTTTTCTTTTAAAGAGGAAATAGGGTTTTGCTATTCAACAGCAGAATATGGCCTCAAATTTGTGATCCTCCTAACCACTGGAATTACAGGCGGATACCTAAATTTGAAAACTTTTTTAAGCGTTGGAGATCAATCCATGACCTCACAGATGCCAGGCAAATCCTATACTATTAAACTCTATATATAACCCAGCCAATTCTGTTTTGTTGAGATAGTCTCGTAAGACCCAGGCCATGGGACTTATGCTCCACCACCCAAGAGCTGGAATTACAAGTGTGGTTAAGATGCCCATTTTCTTTTTTCTTTTTGAGACACAGCCTCACTGTAGCAAAAATCATCCTGAAACTCACTATGCAATCGAGGGCAGCCTTGACCCTGCAATTGTTCTGCCTTAGCCTCGAGTGCAGGGATTACAAGTCGGCAACCCAGGTAGGGCAGTGCTGACACACCTTTAGTCTCAGCACTTGGAAGGCAAAGGCAGACGGATGTCTGTGAGTTCTAGACCAGCCTGGTCTACAAGAGCTAGTTCGAGGACAGCCTCCAAAGCAATACAGAGAAAACCTGTCTCAAAAAAACAAAAACAAACAAACAAAAAACAAAAAAACAAAACACAGTAGGCAACACAGTATTTTAGACACCCTGAGCTATGATATTCAGCTGTAGAAGTCTCTGCTTGCCTGAGGAATAGTAAGGGTAAAGTTACCTTTTTTATATGTTCCATCAACTCCTTTTCCCATCTTATCCTTGCTGCTCACATCTCCTTCCATGTAGGGGAAGACTCGGGCCTGATGAGTCCACAGATAGTCATTAGACCCAAAGAAGAGAACAGGAAACTCGCCCACGTCATGCCTCATTTTATCGATGTTAGAGGGGACGGCTCGAGGATGGCAGATCTCAGCTGGCCACCACCTGGAGAAGGTACACATCAGAGAAGAAACCTCTACAAGGCTGCAAAGGCATTAGGAAAATAACCTAGTTAAGGTTTTTGTTTTGTTTTGTGTTCTGCATGTGTGTATATATATAGTGTACACGTGTATATACAGGTACAAAGTGAACAGATGTTTTCCTGGGTGACTGTCCACTCCAACCACTAAAGCACATTCAAGCTAACCCTGGGGTTTATTAGTTCTTTCTCATCTAGCTGAACAGTTTGCCCTGGGGACTCTCATTTTGGCCTCCTAGGCTCTAGGACTGCATCTGGGCTACCAGACCTGCCTCACATATGAAGGTGACAGGTTCAAAACACCAGCCCTCACACTTGCTTATCAAGCACTTTGTTCATTCAGCCAGATCCTCAAGTGGAATGTCCCAGAAGCCTGAAATAACAGGCTGACTCACAAATGTATAAATAATTTCTTAAATCAGTTACTTTACTTCTAGGAAATGATTATGATACATGAATATTTATAATGCTCACTTAAAGATTTTCTTAACAATAAAATAAAGATCGGACAGTGGTGGCTAGAGAGATGGCCCAGAGCCTGTGTTGCTATCTACAGGACTCTGTTCCATTTCCAGCACCACGTCAGATGGCTCACAATCATCTGGACATTCAGTTCCAGAGAATCTCATGCTTCTGACCCCAGAGGGCACTTGTACATACACATACACTCTCTCTCCTCTCCCACTCTCCCCAACCACCCCCCTCTCTCTCACACACACACACATTTAGACACATATGCAATTAAATTTATTAAAATTAATTAAAACGAAAATGTGACAATTAAAAATGGGGAAAAAACCCCTCATCATTAAGGGTATCAACCATAGTGTACCAGACAATTTGCATTTTAAAGAAGAAACTTCCAGCTGGGATAGGTGGTATATTTTTAATCCCAGGAGGGATGTAAACTCAGGAAGCAGAGGTGGTTTCAGGACAGCCTGGTCTACATGGTTAAGATCTTAACTAAAAAGCAAAAACTAAAAGGAGAAACTCCCAGTAATTATCTAACCAAGATAATTAATATTTCCATCTTTTAAAATCTACAATTTCTTTGTGTTAATCACCTTCAAACTTTTCACTAGTAGACCTGTTTTCTTGATTTTAATATATGATCTTGCTAGATAGACAAATCTATATATAGTCATGAACAAGTGATGGTCCTGCCTCATGGTCCTGTGTGCTGGGAATAGTGATTACACTACCACACAGCTTCTCTACTAGTAATTCATGAAGTATGTAACCACAGTGTGCCCAGCTGTATGCTGAAATCATCCGTGTTAGCTGGGCAAATGACTAGAAACAGTCAGGGAGGCGTCCAAGTCTGAGGTCAGCCTCAGACTAGATAACGAAACCTTGTTTAAAAACTAAACAAAGCTACATTTATGTTGTATACTTTTATGCAATCCCTGCCCAATTAAAACTTCAAAACCAAAACCAAAATAAACAATTGTGTGTAAACTATAGACAATTATCTGGTGGAGAAGGATATTCCTAATGTTGACAATAGATCTTCCTTGTTTATGAGATAATGGGCTTATTTTACTTCAGTAAATAACTTGTTACAGCTCACATAACATTCCAAAAACTGAAATCCATATTTAATTTTTCTTAAGAGAGAAAAACTGATTGGAGTACTATGCCTAGCCATGAAGAGCATTTTAAGAAGTTAATTATCAAGCCTGGCGATGGTGGCACACCCCTTTAATCAGAGCACTCGGGAGGCAGAGCTAGGCAGAGGATGATAAGAGAAAGAGTGCAAATTCTTTGTCATGCTGACTCACCTGTACCGACCAACCTTTACCCAGACAATCTCCCTGTAGTGTGGTTTTTTGCCTGCCTTGCAGTCGTTGCAATACCAATTTCCTTCAGGAATATCAATGTTTAGGCATTCACGATGAAAAGCAGCAGGGCAGGAATCACAGCAGAGAAGGCTGCCTCCTACAGGAATAAGAAAGCTAGCATTTAGACCACAAGGTCAAACAGAACGTTCCAGGAAAAATGGCTTTTGCTAGGCTCCTAGGAAATTATTTGTAACTCTAGTCAAGGGCTTAGTAAAACACATGCAAAAAACTTTTCCATAACAATATGCCTGTTCTAATGTTCCTGAGCTCCCAGACCATCAAAGTTTTTTCTATTTAAATAATAAATAGTAAACTTTACTATCAAAATTAGTTATGGCAACGAGGTAAGAAAATAAACAGAAAATTTATGTGCATAAATATCAACATAAGACACCTTCCTTCCCTTCTCAGCCTATATTTAGCAAATAGAGACAACTTTCTACCTTATTTTTGTGAAAAGGTTTCTTACTGAACCTGGAGATCATCCATTCTGCAAGGCTGGTAGTCTAGCCAATGAACTGTAATCTGCCTGTCTCTGCCCTGACAATAGTATGTTAAAGGAATGTGCCTTGTTTTTACATGAGCAAGGGAATCTGAACTCAGGGTGTCATGCTTGTGTGGTTGGAACTTTACCAACTGAGCCATTAAGTGCTAAGACCATATCACTTTAGGAATACAATTTCCTTATTCAGATCTATTTTTCCCAGTAGCAACTATTTAATGAAAAGTGGTCACTCTTGAGAACTCAGTTAACAATCACCCAGCAGTACCTGACTCATAACCAGAACCTCCACATGGTTAGTTCTTTCACTCTTCACTCTTTTTTTTTTTTAAATCATTAACTTTTCAAACCTGGTGGTGGTGGTGGTGGTGGTGGTGGTGGTGGTGGTGGTGGTGGTGAACACCTTTAATCCCAGCACTCAGGAGGC